AGACAGACAGACAGACAGACAGACAGACAGACAGACAGACAGACAGATAGAGAGAGAGAAAGAAAGAAAGAAAGAAAGAAAGAAAGAAAGAAAGGCAGAAAGAAAGAAAACAGAAAAAACTATGAAAGAAAGAAAGATAGATAGATAGACAGATAGATAGATAGTCAGTTAGATAGATAGATAGATAGAAGTAGCTGAATCGCGTGGAGCCTGCACCTTTGCTTTTTGCCGTCCTTGAGGGAGGATTTTTGCAGAAAACTCCGATGCTAAATCAGACACCTAAGATGGTGCATTGGCAGCGCACGGAGGCTGCTGGAGGAAAACATGAATGGTGGAAAGCACTTGAGAGTGTATAAGCTTTTTCGATCACATGATAAGCGGCTTGCAGGGCTTATTTTCTGGTTCTAGTTTTGCGCTGTCCAGTTGTGGTCACTGTTACTGGGCCGGGGAATATCTAAAAGAAAATTGTCTATAAAATCTTAGGGTCATTTTGAGGTGGCTCAAGCTCTCAGACTCTATAGAGTTTATTCGGCAGCAATTAACAAAAACTTAAAAAGGACCAGTCACTGCCCGGACGGTGCTGGAGCAGGCGGTACTGGTGGGTGGGCACTCACGCAGCGGGCGGTCCTAGACACAGAAAACTTACTAACCAGACTGAACACCGCTCAGCGCTTCTTGGGACGGCTCGCCTCAGCGGCCGCCGCCAAGATGCTGGCCCTGCTTTCGGCTGGCCGTTTGGGTGGACCCTTGGACCCTCTGCCAGCACCATTAAGTCCTTTGCCGCCTCCTTTGCCTTTGGACCAGGCCCGCACGTCATCCTTATCGAATCCCTCATCCTCATCCGCCGCCCGGACACTGCCCCGACTCTCTGCAGCCCTCTTAGGAGGTCCCTTGGTCCCCGTGGCTCCACCTTTAGCTCCTTCTTCATCCACCAAAACCGTCGCAGGGCCGGGGGTGGAGCATATCGTGCAGGGCGCGCGCCACAACGGGGGTACTCTCCGTCCCGCTTTTGGCAAGGCGCGAGGCTGCAGCACACCTGCCGCTGGAGAGAACGAGAAGTTAAACAGCGACGTGGCGTCCCCGTTAGGTCTGTTGCCATGGTAGTAGCTCTCGACGGCATCTCGGCTGACTGCTTGTAAGGCCTGAAGGCACTCACCATCAAACTCTGTGAAGCCAGCTGCCTGACCAACGCCTGGAACAATGGGTGCTTGAATTGAGGGGTAAGGGCCGCTGTGAGGGAGCAGCATCAGTGGCAGCTTCCGCTCCATTCGCCCAAGCGTCACAGAGGGTGGACAAGTGTTCCTTGAACTCCCACGGCAAAAACACCACCAACTGGCAGGCACCTTGTCCCTACCTTGTCCCTTGGCGGTGGAGGTTGCCAGAGAAGACAGGTTCGCGACGCGACTCTCGAACGCAGTGACACGAGCATCCATGGCAAGGGCAGCGCAGAGCACGGAGGCAAGACGAAACACAGGGTTCCGGCCAAGCAACAACACAAGGAACCCCTGTACATTGAGGGAGAAAAAGCGAACCCAAAATTAGAAATCAAAACTTCAGCAGAGCATTAAAGCCATGGGGGGGAACGACAAAAGAGCACCCAGCGCCACACAGGAGGAAGTGCCCAACGATGTGAAGAGAAGCAGGGAATAGTCCAAAACCAAGAAGAAAGGAGAAAACGGGGTCACCAAGGGGCACACGAGAACCCAGCCAAGCACCTGGCCGGCGGAGCCAGACAGCAACCAACCCAAACAGCACCCGCTAGGAAAGCAAAGGCAACCTGCTCAGAGGCCCGGACAAGACCGGAACGCCACTGCAAGAAAAAAGGGGCCTGGACGAGACCAGAGCCCCGCCCTGGACGAGACCGGCACGCACTGCGAATAGAAATGCAGGAGCCATAAGGCAGCGTCCGCGGCCGCGGCGCTTTGCGAGAGGGGCGGGGAACACCAGCTTTAACTCCCATAGCGGGCCAACTCCCATCCCCGAGGCGGGTCCATAGCCTGGCGAGCGCAGGCCCTCCCCATACACGACGTAAGGCGCGGCCGCTTTCTGAGGCTGCGAAGGTGTACAGCTTGCCTTCTGGTGGTGGTCGGCTTGCATTGGAGAGGCTGCCATGCATGCTCTCGTGAGTTGCCCAAAAAAAACCGATTGGTCCTCGACACATTTGAGGAGAGCCTTGTACATACGAACTTTGAGCGGTGGACCACGCTCAGCTGAGCCGCTGGCGATGGCCGCCTTGCCGGCATTGAAAGAAGCGAGTTCCTCAGTAAGTGCCACACAAGCGGTCCCGCTGGCAAAGAAATGAGCTGGAGCTCGGACCGGAGAAAGGCCACATCTTGAGTTGTCAGACCGCCCACTGTGAAGATCCATTTTTCCAGTTGGTCCACGCGGTCTTTGGTGTTAGTGTTGGCAAGATCATCGCGCGCCTTCCGGAAATCTTTTGGCCACACCGGACTTCTGCCACGAGCGCTGCTAGCGGACGGCATGAAACCAAACAGATAACAAATAGTTCGAGCCGAGCAGTCTGAGGAAAGCACAAACCAAAGTTAAAGGGACATACGCATGCTATACCCCTAGGGTTCATGAATGCGGATAGGATAGTCGCGCATGTGACAGGAAGCGCGGTGTCGTTTAAAAGTCAAGGGGTTAGTCATAACAGAGGCGGGGAGACAATAAGACACAATCTTTCAGGCTGCAGTAAGACACAATAAGACAATAGTGCAGCTGAAACCCCAACTGGGGTACGACTGACACCTTGCTTGAGCAAGACCTGTTGATTGGATTGTGAATGATATTAATGTGGACAACCCACTTTGCGGAGGGCCAGCCAATCTGTAGAGCCCAAAGGGTCCCAGATTTCCACAAAGAATGGGGACATCTACCACACCCTGCGCTCCCTAAGTAGGGGGGGTCTTTGGGGGTTCTACACTTCTGATTTTCCACCATGAGGTTCAGATCTCTTTCCTGGAAGAATGTGCATGGGATGTTCAGTTGTGAGTCAGCCCTTCACACTCGCGCACACAGGTGAACCCTTTCGCAGCATGACCATCGACAAAGCTATTGAATTGACCATCCCAATCTAGTCCTTGAGCTCTATAAACACAAACATCACAAAACATTTGGATGACTCAATGACTACATGATCCCGTGGTGGATTTGAGCTGTGGACAAACTTCACTGAACACCATGAAACATCGCTCCCCTTGGAGCGACCAAATTCTCCTCCTGCTCCATGAGGGCACGTGTCACTGGATTGACTGCCCATGCATCATCCCGCGCCACGTGACATGCCTTCTCGAGCCATGCGCGGGATTGCGTCGCACTAAGCGACTCACAAAACTGTTCACGCCTGTGGCGCTGCAGGCCGGGAACTGGTGACTGTAGAGCCCAACACCTCTTGGAGGAAATCTACGGAATTCCACGATCTGCTATGACTTCGAGTCCCCAAACTGCATGAGGTACTCCCTAAACCAAGGCTCTGGAAGCGTTCCAGACTTGGGGTTGCTCAAGCTAAGGAGGTCTGGAGTCTGTTTGTGGATCTCAGGGGTGAACAGAAGGACACTCGAGTTCTAAAGGAAACTATTCTCGGCTTCCCGGGAAGGATTGTTGATGGGCTTGATAAATCTTTGTCTCAAGACTCGAGACTAATTAGACAAATCATCACCAGCTCGAGGCCCAAACTGCACAACAACTGTTACTGCAGAAACGCACCGGTTCCAGTAACTTATGTTGTCCTCGTTTCACTGAAGGGGAAATTGGTTCCTTTCAATTTTGAAAGAAACGCGGAAAGAGCTAACAACCTGCTACTTCAAGCTAGCGGTAATCAAATACATTGTATAAACGATGTCTGCGAGCTTTCACGATTGTTCGGCCTTGCTGTCCCCGACAAATATACAGTAAGTAAGTCTGTGAAAATCCTCAATGGCATTTGAAATGATGTGAATGGTTTGACAATTGTCTACAGCGAGTGAGTGAGAAGTTCCCTCAGATGTGCTTGTATGCCTAGGGTTCACGTGGTCAGTGATGGATGATGACCCCAGATCGAAGAGTAGCTTGAAACAGTCAGGCCAACTCAAGTGCAAATCTATGAGAATCCTATCTGGACTCTGTTCCATGCTGCAGGAACAAGTAGCGTTTAGCCACTTCCAGTCTACCAATCTGGTGGTCAGTCAGTCCATCAAAAGTGAAACGATTCTCAACATCCAACCTGTTGCAATACCTGATGAACCCTTCATACCAAATTGCCCTCAAAAACTCCAGGGTCATTTCTGGAAAATTCCTCCTGACTGTCAACCACCGGTGTTCCTTCGGTCTGCACCGCCGAGAGACCAGATTCCACGGACCGGCTTCGTCACAGAGACGTAACGCAAGTGGCTTTCAGGTCCCTCGACCTGGCGGACGCCCGAAGAAAACCACCGAGCCGGAGCCCCCAGTGGTGGAGACAAGGCTACCAAACATGTCAGGAGCCAAACATTGGCAATACACTACCGGAAATAGTAAACAGAAGTGGAACATGGCCTCCACTGGAAGAGTGACTACTTTCCTTCACAAAGAGCGGTCGTTTCATGGAGTTCGGCTAGGGCAGTCCCGAGCTTGTGTGCAGCAAGCGCCTTCTGCCAAAGAACACGTTTCTCAGTTGCTACAGCTCCGGCGCATCACATCTGAACACAATCCAGTTTCTGCGGCAACGCATTCCCAACGTATTTCAATACGCATCGTGAGTGTGGTTGGGACAGCAAACATGCCAACGTCCAACGACTCGTTCAATGTTTAGGAAGTAAGACATGCAAAGCACGGAGCACATTGCGAAGTCGAAAGTAAATGGTCATGAACCAGTTCTGAACACTTCTGAACATCAACACATGAAACGTTTAGGGTGCAAATTGTCCAATCCGGTTCCCCAATCCAATACATTGAGAGAACTATTGAGAGAAATAACGTGAAACCTAAAACATCCTACACACCCCGAAAGACCTCACGAGAAGGTCCACTCCAATCAGGCCGTTGACCGCAGCACAACCACAGCAGGGCCTCTTGCGATACACTTTCCTCTCAAGGATTTCCGGGTGTTCCTCGATGAGCTCAAGATACTTTTGCATCCGTAAGCCTCGACCAAGGGGGCTCGTAAGACGAAGAGATCGGGACTGCATGCGTTCAGGGATCCAAAACCGGTCTGGGCAGGAACGATTCGAGGCCAAGTCGCCCATGCCATGTCGGAGGAAAAACAGGCGCATGGCTGACGGAGGCAACGATGGGTCCCTCATTCACAAAAGGGTCGGCCTACTAGGGTTTCTCGCACAAGGCTTCACACGATCAAAGTTGAAACATGTTGAAGCCATTGCTGTGCATCCGTTTCGTTGTGTGGCGGTTCACAGGCGGGTCGCTCGCACACCTCAAACATGGAAAACATCGACATGTCTCTAGCTCCTGAACCATCCTGATTGTGGTTATGTCTCAACCTCAAAACACCGAGCAGCCTTCTCTCCCAAATCTTCGCCCCATTGGCCTTCATTCAAGGTCCCCAAGCACTTCATTAGTATGGGCCCCTCCCATGCCAAACAAGCTGGACTCCATGCAGAACTCGCCACCCGCGGAGAAAAACCTGACCACGACGGACACCTCCCATGCTCCGCGAAGCGTCCCGCGTCAGGCACGCCAGGGCGCCTTGTTCGGAGGCTTCGTCTTTCAGCTCCCGGGGCTCCTTGAAAGAGACCTCTGTCGCTTCAGGTTTCGACCCCGCATGGACATGTTGACGTTCGCTTTTGTGGGACGTTTGAGATTTGTGCTCAAACATTTGACATTTAGTTCAATTTGGTTCCGTTGAGTCTTTGAGTCCCTTCTTTCATGTTTCACTCGATCGAGCGACTCGATGTTTTTGCTTCGGGTGTCTTCCCGTTGGAGTTTCGTTTGTCGAGCGTCCACATGCGTCCACCAGCCCCACCTCCCGTCTGGAAGCAGTACTGCAGCGGCTGTTGCCTGACGAAGGAAGAGGTTTTCTTGGGTGTTTAGCTGAAGAGAGCAAAAAATTGACCTATGTTGAAGCCGTGAGAACCAGGGAGATCAGGAGTCATTTGACAAATTAGTCCTCTTTAGGCGGTCACTTTCAGGAGACCCGAACGTTCTATGTTGGTTTGGGGTGGCCTGTGAGTGTAGCTTGATTCAACCTCTATCAAGGGGCAGCCAAACTTTGGTTGTCAAGGAGAGTTGCGTTGGATCCTTTTGCATGAGGACCCAAGGCCCAAGTGGACCCGAGCTGTAAGGATCGATAGATCTGCTATATCTATGAGAACAGCCGTGGGCCCCACCGCCGGAGGGCGAAGTCTGGTGATATATGCTTTTCACGCCGGTGAAAGGCAAAAGATGTGTGCCATTCTCACTTAACTTGTGTGTTGACACAAAACTTGGTCAAGCCCCTGAGCAACAGCTGCAGAGGGAGACCTTGCTATACGCTCTATGACATGGATTGTTCTTAAGTTCTTAAGGGACCTTCTAAAAGCCCCCAACAAGTGAGAAAAACAAACAGTCCGGTGAATGAACGTCTGATATTGCAACCAAGAACTTGGGCGATGTGTCAGGATGTCTCACACACATATGAGAAAAAGTGTACGTAAGTACGAAATGGGTCATCTCCCATAAAAACATGCGTGATGAGTAAAACAGCATCATGCACTACAGTCCAACCCTCGTGAAGATCTAAGTTCCAACAATAAAGTTCCAGTCAACTCTCAATCTCCAAAATGCAATACGTGTCAGCTCAGTTCAAACCGATACAACGGGCAGTGACTTGTTCCAGTAACAACAGGGCCCAAAATGGAACACGTGGTAATCATCCTCTCGCAGGTACGTGCAATCTGCGTTCAGATTACGTATCACAGCAAACTTGAAATGTCTTCGTTGAGTCGTGACTTCAAGAATGCCCACCGCTCCCCTGCTGAACTAAACCTCAAAAAGTCAAATGATCAATCCGATAAGGTCATCACGGCACGGGGTGTCAGGAGCTCGCCTGACTGCACTGACTGCATGCTTGGGCGAATTGACGTGCTGCCACTGGCCGGTGAGGGAGGTCCTGGTGAGGGAGGCCTCAGTTGACCAGCTGAGGATCCATGAGGAATCGTCAACCCACTTGAGGAATGGGCAAACTTCTGGCTTCACCAGTAAGGAAAGGATCTGCTACAACTATCACTATGACTATAACCATCTCACTTTGTTTCAGAAAGAAAGAACCAGCAAACCTTTCACGCTAATCACATTGGACTCAAGAAAGTGGAGCCGATATGATCGTTTCCAAACCCTCTGTCTACATCCTCAAAGGAGTGCCTCGAGGGTCTTGGCCAATGCATTGCTTGAACCCCCATGGATCAAATGCGTCCAACAGTTTTTTTGATGAGGAGACTCCAAACATAGTTCCACGACTTCCAAGACCATGAAAAAATTGTTGACCTGAGGTTGTAGGGTAAAGCCTTAGTCAACCAATGGTTGTTGTATAAAGACTATCGAGTTGATGGTGGTTGGAATCCTAGGGTGTTATTTACAAATTTGTTCATTATAAAATAATTTGGACCATTCGGACTCTGCCCCGAATTCCCGCAACACCGAACTCGGAAAGATATCTTTGTCTTTGGAGGCCTCTGCAATGTTGTCAGATAGTTGGCCCGACCGAGAAAATATTTGACATTGATGTTTGCTACATAGAAGCAAGAAGCTAATTACTAGGTGGAGGCCCATCGCTACTAGTAACAAGAAGCTGGTAGTAGTTGGGGCGTTAATTTGAACCTTTGCAACCTCTGAAAATCGGAGGGCTAGTTAGGGCAAAGAGGGCAACAAACATGACAGAGGTGCAACGCCTGTCACAGTTGTCTCTAGTTGTATGTTGATATCTCTATTCAGAAGCAATCAAGTTGAGACAAGCTTCTCTCCTGTTGACCTTGAACTGATCGTTATAGAATGTTTCAGGAAAAGCAAGCCTGGGTGAACAAGGTATGCACAAAGCCCTGAACGATATATCGTTTTCGCCCACACCTGAAACCACAGTCGGCCGCCTTGGCCCTCCGGATCTCTGCGAGCCACGCATCGCTCCTCACCGTTTGCAAGCTGCTGGAGCACCCCATGTGAGCTGGCGCAGGAATTGCCACTTGGAAAGGAACTGGAGCCCGAGTGGCTCTGCGAGTGGCGAGGAAAACAAATGGATTGCTTGAACATGCTTGAACATGTGTTAATTACATTGGCTACATCATGCCATGCATCCATCCGTCCGTCCGTCCGTCCGTCCCTCTATCCATCAATCATGGCAAACGGCTATGTTAGTTGTCAGGCTCCTAGCTGTCATGGCAAACGGATATTTGCCATGCAATTGCTCATGTACCAGGATGTACCATGGATTCCTAGATGTTCTTAGGACATCTAGACCGGTGCAATAACGTACAATGTTTGGCCCGACCCTACGCCTCGGGTCTCGGGTACTGAAGCCCCTGAACTTCACCCTCAGGAGCCTCTTGAACTGCGCTGTAACACCTAATAGGTCCTGAAGTAAGATCCATCAAGGATCTACTTTATTCATATTTATTCCATCTGGTCCATCGGGTGGTGGTAAACAAGTGAACTTCATGATCCAATTCCTCTTCAGAACTGGACATTCTCCCATGACCCCCTTGATGCATGCATGCACACGCATACAGCTCCAACCTGCCACCGGCATCCAAACATATATCGAGACCACTATCCATATCCAGACTCCACTCAGCGCCAAAAGCCACCTGGAAGCAGGTATGGTGCCCTTTTCGGCGGTGCTCCAGACCTCGGCGGTGCTTCCAGGTGTGGCGCGTGCGTCGATCGATTCGGTGAAGGAGTCGACCGAAAGACCGTGAGAGTCACTGACGCCAACGGGAAAAAGATGAGATGCGACAACAAAATGCGATGGTCGGGACTCGTCTGAAAAAAGGCATCCATTCGAACAACCCATCCCAATGGTGATTGGTTGACCATTAACCTTAGCTGGACCTCCCAAACTACCATATGTTTTCCGTCGCTAATATGCTTCAGCAGTTGATGCTAATCAATCCCATCTAAGCCAAAGCCTCTAACATCTCCAACTCCGACCATCACCTCCGATTTTCGGCGCGATGCAATCTGAGTTCGATGACCCGTGAAGTAGGCGTCCAGGAGTCGATTAAACCCGCTGGCACCATCACACCTGGCGAGATCGAATTGTGGCGATGAACGGAAAAACGAAGCAGGATCTCAAGGAATCGTAGAAGCCGTGCAGGATTTATTCATTCAAGCTTTGTGGTGAATAAAGAATCGTTTCCGGGAAGACGTCAAAACCCTGACAAGATCAGGCCAAAAACTGGTGATGTTCCGGAAGCTGCAGAATCCAACGTGGTATCTTAGTGTGAAACAAAAAAGCCGTCAGCCGGCAGCCATTGACTGAACAAGGAACAAACAACAATTACTCACATTATTGGCATTGGATGCCTTGGAAAAGCCAGGACAAACATGTACAAGTAGGGGACATTGTAGATGCAATTGAATTCTTCCTCAAACTCACCTCCGGTGCTCCGATCTATATAACTTCATCAGATTGATCCGACTGACTCGCAATATCTTATATCATCTCAAAACGTCTTAAGACCTGGTCATGTGTAGCAGCATGTCACAACCTACAGCCAACGGGAGCGTCATGTGGAAGATACTGGCACTGGCAAATTACATCGGACAAATCGGCACTTCTGATTCCTGTCCTCATTTATTTGGCGAATACAACAATTGTCGCACCGTGCCATGGCCTAGTGGCAGTCTCAACTAAGACGTTGTACCCAACAAACTTTCGAGCAACTGTCCTTGTGCTCAACCTCACAACACCCCGTGAGTGAGTTGCGGCATCTTACAGCACAAGGGTTGCCTGGATGCTCCTATTTCCCGCGCCTTTTCCCATTTTTCTGATCGCGTGTCACAATCAATTCATCCCTCTGCGTATCCACTTGAATGCGCGTCCCCACTAAAAAGCCCAAACCCATCAGCATCACATCCTCGTAAGGCTTGTCAGCCACCGAGGTGGGTGCCCATGCCATCTCATTGATGGGCGTGACGAGGTCGAGCCCAAGTCCATACGTAGGATGCTTGCCCACATACCTGACACAGTATGATAAAACGACTTACTGACACCAGGATCTTGGGCTTATGCCCTGTGGCTCCAGGGGATGGGTTCAGGTTCAGCCCCTTCGACAAGTGCGACCACATCCCCGAAGACAAACTAGAAAATCAAGCTCCAATTCCCAAAACGCAAGTGGTTATGTGCTTGAGGACGGTGTGTTCCCATCAGCAGTATACTTAGTGTTTTTGAGAAACACCTACAACCCAACACCTCCTCTTTTCCAGTGTAAAAACATCAACTAAACAAACAGGTAAGTATGTCTTGGGGTGAATCCCGCAAATTGTGGAGTGGAGCATCTTCAAACGGTAGCTCATTAACTCCAGGCCACATCTGAAAGGACACGTTAGAATCGTCAAAGACCACCTCGATCTGCCTGGCACTTGACCACGAAGAGCCCCGTTGGGCATTCTCGCGCGCAAGAAGAAGATAGGCATCGTACAAAGGGGCAGTCATTGAGGCTCCAGTGGTTCCTGATAGGGCAACAGTCGATTAAAATCCTCTGTTTCCCCAAACCTTTTGGCCACGTCATCCTCCCTCCGGCCTGAGATGGACTACCGAAAATCCTTCAGGAAAGAGCGGCTTCACACTCTACTGGGCCGAATTTCTCATTGACGGTTTGCTCGTTGAGAACTCGGGTATACTCAGCACACAAATCCAACGAATCCAAATCCAACAGAAATCTGCAAACTCATCCACAGTTGACACGTTCAACAGATCTAGCACGCCGTTTGGATCCCTTTCATCTCCCCGAAGGGGTCTTTGTGGTCCGTCTCCTGTGTCCACGAGAACCAGCACCTTTCGAGTTGCTTCTGCACAAAGCACCTGACCCCCAATACGAAGCGTGGCCAAGGCGCAGTAATGCCTCGCTAGCAGGGGCAACTCATATGTTGTGACTGCTTTGCAGAGGACGTTTGGCCCGACGTTGGACAGTTCATGCTCGGAAACAGGGTTCACTTGGGTTCTGTTACTGTGTCCTTAAAATATACATGGAGCAATAGTGTATAGACATGTATAGACATTAAATTGATTTAAGTTATAAGTTATATATAAGCAATTAAACAATGTACCCGATGCAGCAAGTCTGACGCCATGGTTCACACGGGACTCCTTCAGTGTTCGCCTGTAACAATCACTTCTCCCCCTTGAGATCCTTAAGTTCGCATATGCCACATCCAGCCCCATCATCCAATGTCCAACTCTTCAACTACCCATCCAAATCACAAATGACATTCCATATCATTCCATCTAATCCCCCTACATACCACACCCTATAAACCCTACCCTTCACCTCCGAGACACTTCACTGGGTCGCCCCATCTCCTGGGATCCACCAGCCGCACTCGCTCGTCCGCCGAGCTTCCCGCGGTTCCGAACGTGTCCAGCGTGAGAACTTCGCGGCCCGGAACGCGGAGGTCGATGGTGAGGAAGCGGAAGGGCGTTTGCTCCAGGAAGGACTGTTTCCTGGCAAACAACGGCTTTGAAGGACCAATATGAGTGCATCGGAGTATAGACCCACATGGGATGTGCTTGAAGGCACGTGTCCGAGGCATGAGTCACCTCACGTGTTTGGACGTGTTTCGGTATCTGAGGATTCTGAGGTGGTACCTTCCTACCCCTACCCGGGCCCAAGGCTCATGCCAGCTTGGTGATCGCGGATGAGTCCGAAGAAGACCGCCTTGCCCGTCCCTCCGAAGCCAATGACGCGGCCCTGCACCCCGAAGCCGATGGACTTCATCGACCAGGACTCCTCGGCGCCGCCGCCGGTATGGAAACGGTCAAAGCGTATGGAAGCGAAACTACAAGCCATGGCTCCAGGGGAAGATCAGAACTTCAAGATCAGACTACTCAAACTACAGTAGTTCAGATAGGTTTTTACTTTTTTAAAATGATCTTGGAAATGACATCATATCTAAACAAACACTCCAAGATCAGACTGCTAGTAGATGCGAGGATGATCACAAGGCAAGACAGGACTCCAACTATAAAGGACAAACGCATATGTGCAAAGCAATGAAACAAATAACAGAACAGTTCCTTCTGCTTGCAAATGGAGTCGTGGATTGCAACATCTTTAGATTCGGTGACAATAACTATGCTTTCCACAATCGGGCTCAATAGCCTATAGCCTGTAGATGTTCTCCTGTATGATGTACTAGCCATGGGAATTAGCCTGCGACGTCCCCAAGGATGGGGAATCCCCAAGTGGCACAAGACCTTGTCTCAAAATGATGGGATGCAAAATGCAGTGGCACAAGACCTTCCCATTGCAAGACATGCATCACCACCCCGAAAGACCAAAAGCAAAACACCAGTGGTGACCTGTATCCCAGGTGGTGCCACTGTTCTTTCTTCCTTGAACCGTAGAAGGCGATCGGCGATGGTAGAAAAGGCTTCGGGCCCACACCTTGAGCATGCCCAACCTCTCCAAGCATCTTCCGCTTCAGGAAAACTCACTTGCCCATCTGATCGCCATTGAATCTCCACCACTCCAGACGCATAGCCCTCCCAGCTATCTGGATCGCCACTTGGCTTGCCTTCCCCCTCAAAGCAACCCACCTAGAGGGCAAAGCAGGTTGGTGAAGCAATGACATGCAATGACTACTTTTACTGTATACCAACTTTCTGCCGAGAGAGTTCATGCGAAGTCTCAGCTGCCATGCAGCATTCTTTTTTCTTGGATGGTGGAAACCACGGCCATTAGGTTAGTTGGTTCACCATGTTCTCACCAGCCTCCGCGCAGTAGCTGGGGCAATCCTTCCGGAGACACCTCGCAACCAAACAAAAGGGGGAGCCTGTATCCGCGACAGCATAGATCCTCGTCCGCAAGCGGGTTCCGAAACCGCCCATGGCCTTCGTGGACTGACCGAGGCCTTGGGAAAGGAGGCCTTGTCGTGTGCCCCAGTGAATTCAGTGAATTTCAATCCAAGTAAACAACATATCGGAATTGTTGACAACCTCTCCTCTACTGATTTGTAGCTGAAAGGCTCAGTACAACTCCAGACAATTTGATATGGTCTGAGAACTCTACCCTCAGCAGGGGTCACTAGAATCACAGGAATTCCTTGGAATTCCAAGTTCCCTTTTGGGACCTCCAAAACCATACAAACCAAACTGCCAATAGACGAGAGGATGATCACACAATGGAAGAAACAAAATCCAGAAACCATCCTTCGCATGGCCAATGTTTCACGGAGAAGCAACCCTGTCCTTTTCTGATTCTCTTTGCTTTTGCGTTCACCACTCAAAGTGAAGTAAAGGTAGAAGCCACCTGTGCAGTGTCAAACGGCTTGCTTTATCGGTGCTGCAATCCCACCTCACATAGTTTGGTCATGTTTGGTCTGTGTATCTCCAATTCGAACCATTCAGCAACTAGAACACCCAGTTCTGCATGTGGCCCATGTGTTTGGTCATATGTCAAGGACATGCTTGCTGGATCACTTCCAACACACACCCTCACCTGCTTCCCAATGCAAAGGAATCTTCACCTTGCTCAACCGAGTCCTCGCCCTCGCTCTGCGTGCCGCGGTTCTTCCGACGAGGAGTCCAGTCAAGCTCCCCACGACGACGCGCCGTCCGCGTCGAGTTCCCTCCACGGCCCGGAGGGTCCGAGCCGAGCGCCGTTGCTTCGTCCAGACGCGGGGAGCTTCGCACAGCGCCAGAGGTCCCCAGACGTCCGAGAGCAGACTGCATGCATGGAAGTTTGGCACCGGATGACGTTGCATCCGGGCCAGTTCGATGTTCGATGTCCAATGCTTGGGCCCAAATAGTGTGACATGTGCCATCAGGTGCTTGAGACTGTTTGTTCAGTATTGGATTTCCAAGATTGAGATTGAACCCAGCCATGCAGGTGAAGAACCGTCATTCAAAAATGCCAGATCAAAAGATATCAAAAGACACATCTTTGCATCGTCGCCGCTTTTGGGTCGCAGGTTGCTGGGGGTTGGAAGGGTCCCCATTGTGACAGGACTTTGACATGCATGCACAAACGGGTGTTTCTCATTTCATGTCAGTCATTTCATGTCATTTCATGGTCAAGTCGACTCTTTAATTCACGAACTGCTGTGCTGCAATTCAGATTGACGATCGATGAGGAGGAAGTATTTTTGCAGTGGAACTTCAAGAGGTTGAGTGGAGAGCGGCTAGTTGACGGAGAGCCAAGCTGCTGGTGGTCTTCCCGAGTCACGATCTAAGCACAATTTGAGGCCAGGGGGGGTGAACGAAAGCTAGCCACTGCGAAGCAAGAGCGACTCCAACTAGCTGAGGCTAGCTTTCTTGAAGAAAGGTCTGAAGGTCAATAGTCTTTGGGATCTGAGAGGGCTACAGGAGTAGGTCCCCTGAAACGTCCAGGATCTGGTTTCATGGCACTGAGCACATGGCCACCCAGCAAAGTCTACCAGGTATATCCACTATCGATGACTTTCCGTGATTCTGATAGTTGGCAAGGGGTTGGGTCGTCTTTGTTGGCAATTCCCGAGCTGCCTGGCTTTGTTGTCCTCAAGGTTGGTTTGCCTTCTAACTCCGTTTATTCTATCAACAAAGGTGTCAACGACCTAACAAATCAAACATGATCAAACATGACCAAACCGATTTGGACCCCCCACAACCACACGAGTGGCTCGACATCGATACGTACCCGCCTCATCGCAGAGAGGTGCTGGTCCAAGGCCTCGAGTCGGAGAGACCCGGTGGGAAGACGGGTTGATGCATTTTGCCACCTGAGTGACACAAAGGCCCGGTCAAGAATGGGACAATCTAGAGACTGGTCAATATTATATGCAACCATATCAAACCGTAGAACTTGAGAAGAACGCATCCTAAGAACGGGATGCAAAACAACCATGGAAAATGCAATATTGATTCTTCAATGATGGGCCGGTAAAAGTTGGCAATGGTCTGACATCAACATCTCTGTTGGCACGCCATTCGCATCCTGACGCTGTGACATGATATATGACCCCGTGAGTGTTACTGCAATGGATGACATCTGCATACAATGAACTCGCTCAGCCAACGAACTCTCCATCTGTGACGGTTCTCTTGGGCCCGCGCCACGAAGGGCGGCTGTGTGGTCTCCCGCATGGCCACCTTGCTTTGCAGCCGGCAGGTCCAGGAGGTTCACAGAAAACATGAAAGCGTAAGCTGCGTACAGTAATTTTTTTAGCCCTTTTCCCAGCTCTCAAATGCGGGAAAGTTGTGTGTGTGTATGCATGTGTGTGCATTTGAAGAATTACTGTAAGTGTTTCAAACTGTGCCCGAGTTGGGGTGGTACTGGCGCCGTTCCTGCATCAGACTCTTGATGCTAGTGTGTATATTATGTATATTATATACATGTGTTTACTCTAAAAAAATAATAGTGATAATAGTGATACGAGCTGTGAGATCGTGAACCACGAGTAGTGTGGAGCCACTGGTGACTTGCGGCCATTGAGACTGGGATGGACGGAACTTGGCCTGACTAGGAAAGAAGGCACTGACTTGGTATGTTTGCGGCAAGCACATTTCAAGTAAACCCTCGGCTTGCCATGGGTGAAAAGGTCGTACATCTTTTCCGTGTTCAGTGCTCATCCACATCAAATATATGTCCGTTCACCCTGAAAATGAACACCAAACATCTTTGCTTGCCCAAAAAGCGGAGTCCTGAGTTGTTTTGACTGTATCTGTATATGTATATATATATACACAGTATCTTCACCACACGACGACCACTTGCCGCAGTTGAGGCCATTGAAGACGACTTCCCGCAGTTAAGGCCCAGGCCCGAGGGGCACCAGCGGCCAACAAATCACAAACAGCATCCTGCATTCGCTGCAGCGATGTTTCAGGTTTTGCCTGAAAGATATATTCACGATACTTCAAGACATTTCAATGACCACTGTCCTATAGGATTTGAACAAGATCCAGCATCTTCCAGCCAGAGTTGTTTTGTCTTTTTCCTTTGGTTCTCGTGCCACGGCCATACACCAAGGCAAACAGCCTTCCAAGCTGCTGGTGTTCGTGGTTTTTGCCAACAACTGGTGTTTTGATAGGGTGTTCAACCGGAGTGTTGCATTCTTCTGATGAGCTCGGAGGTCAGGTTTAACTGGCTTTTATGCTGCTAACCAACTGTTTGAGGCAGCAACAAGTTACAATGTTATGCTCCAAATTTGCGCAATGTGAAGCCTTCCTAAATGATCCTAAATTGTTCATCTTCGGAAACATGCTGAAGGACATACGCGTGCGACGCAAACACGGGGTCTCTCTCCTTTTTTTGTAAATGGGATGGGGCATGGGTAAGAGATCAATGGATTCCTGAACCCCAATGGTAAAGGACAAAAGCTATACAATTAACGTGTGGCCCTTATTTTGATGCATACATATCTCCATGCGCAAACGTTGACATTTCTCCGAAATACTAGGGATTGGAACACAGTTGTACTATAAAACGACGCAATCAAAAAGGGAAGCCGCGTTGAAAAACAGTTCATTCTTCGCTTGCGACACCAAACATGGGTTCAAAACCCAACAAACTTATATATTATAGGTGTGGATATTCATGTGTGAATGAATTAGGGTTCAACGTGCGCCAATGTGCGTTTCTTCGCGTCGCTCACCTGTTGGAGCTCGAAGAAGGATGCGTCGACCTCGGAACCAACGGAACGGACACCACGAAACGGGGCAGGGCAGAGGGAAAAGGCTGACAGGTTGAAGGAAGACATCCAACCACAATTTGACAGGTTGAAGGCTGAAGGAACATCTGAAAAACCGTTCATAGATGTTCATAGGTTGAAAGGCATACATGGATATTCCATGTGGTTCCCCTATCTCCAAAAGACTCTAACATCTCCAACGTCATGTAATCCAGCTTTTTCCCGCATAACATCCACAGTGGGTGCCGTGTGGACACAGCTCAGGGAGTCTACGATCATCTCGCACATAATCATCTCTGTGGAGCTTTAGGCTTTTGCAATGTTGGAGACAACAATGATGGGATATCCCATCTCTGCTAAAGGAATCTCAAATGTCCTCCCAAACCATGACCGATCCCAAGCTGGCATACCCAGTCCAAGCAAACACCGGCTCAATCAAAGCCTGTGGTGGAGGCCCCACATGAAATTTCTGTAATCCTCCAAGCAAACCTCCCTGGGGACCCAGGGAGCCTAGACCTGGACTTGAGAGGTGTGGGAATCGCTCCTTACTCTTGGGATGAATGGCGTGAAAGCAAAGCCTCAAAGGTGTGCGTTCAGGGGTGCGAAACACGTTCAGAATGCCCCCCCTCGGGAATGCCGCCACAACCACCAACAAGTTGATCTTGAGCAGGTCAAGTAATTTCTGCAAACGCTGTGGGCCGCACAATTCCTACCATCCACTTGTACAAGTGTTCCTGTACTGCGCTACCTTACAACAATAAAACCCTGCTCCCTATTCGCACTCGGACACCCTTTCTGTTCCTAGCAAACAGATTTTGAGTAGGACAACCTCAAAACAGGCTTGGCAAGCCCACTTTGCCCGAGTAGGTCACCGCAGAGTGCACCCTCTGGTTGGATTTGATCTCTGTGAAATCCCACCGGGCAAAACATGAAAAACTGCCCCCGGCGGATGGCACAGGCGTCGTCAGGCGTTCCAACTCCTGGGAGAAGCGCACCGAACTGCTACAACCTACTAGCGATGGCCTCCGGCCTAATAGCGAAGTAAGTGTGTGTGTGTGTGTGCGTGTGTTGGAATAAGGGGACCCTCTTGGTTCACTGGGCTCTTGTTGATCCTTTCTCTTCATGGATAGGACGGGGGAGTCACTCTGGTGCGATACCCGCATCATTTGGGTTGAGGTTCGCTCCACGTCTGCATCAATGACGGCTTCCTGTCAAGTCTTGACACTTTCGCGAAGCCCTTCATGCCACCCTCCCGTTCGCGAGCAAACCTGAGAAACGTCACCCCCACTTCGCCCCGAAAGCTCCTTCCCCCCACACTGAAACCGCCCGAGTCTGTTGTGAACCGAATGGCCTCAGTGATGGCCTGAATGGCTCGCGGCGCCACACCATGGGTCTCCCCGGACCTGGAAGGTGCAGGGGGTAGGCGGAAGACGATAAGGATTTGATTCACACTCCATCTTTTGGTCTTTTGTGGTTTTGGTCTGGTGTGGTGAAGAAACATTATCATCATCATCATCATCATCATCATCATCATCATCATCATCACAATCATTGTCATCATCAGCGAATGATCGTTGAATCGACTTCTAAGATAAGCTGTGAACCTATATATGTTTGAGATTACTTGAGAAAGGTGCTGCGCAGATTTGAGGTACCAGATTTGCATCCTAATAGTTGTTGGACAAAAATGCATGCTGCATGCATATCTCCAGGTATCTCAAATATTCTCAAATGAGGTGGCCAAGTTCAACCGATCCATCTTGGAGTTTGCCTCATGCTCCAAACACATCAAATTCTGGTGCGGTGGACTTGCACTGCATCGCCCGAAGTGCACTGCGCCCTTGTGCAATTGAAGTCACTTTGTCTTTTGGGGGATTTATTTTTTCATAACCCATTCCTCTCGGTTTCGATCTCAAGCCACCGTTCGTCTCTGGCCAAACCGACGCACTTAGCTTCTCTCGCGGAACACCTCTCCATACCCCCCGCTGAGATGCCGCGACGTAAAGAGCCCCGAAAGCGTGTAGGACTTCCCACTCTGAGGACCTCCAAATCGCCGAGCCGCTCGGCGACGCGACCGAATCGGCGGCTCGCGACGACCGATGGACCGGTGTGCATGGACTCGGCAAATCCCATCGGATCGGTGGTCCTGTCTTTAC